TTTTGAGGCTGCTAAGGGTGTGGACCTACTGATTTCTGGGATTCCCCAAGGCCATCTTTTTTATTTCTCTATTCTTTCTTAGCAATTGAAATCTCAGCACTATCTTTATAGTCCAAAGCTTTCTGGCCAAACTCACAACATTTTAAGTCATCCTGCTGGGCTCTTTGCTCTTGATTCACCAGATTAAATCTGGTGAAAAGCCCCCAACAATAGCCATGCCAACCGCCTCCACATTAGACTGCCTTGAAATTTCTTTTGCCAAATTAGTCAATCTGGCACCCTTAATCTCAGTCTCAGGCAAAATCTTTGGGCACGAGCAAAATGCAGACAAACTTTCTGCCAAGTCATAACACACATTGTGTGGAGTCCAACAACCAACATAGTCCTTCTTCCCAGCAGAAGCCTCCCAAGCCTGATCTTTACTGGCAGTCTTTCTATCAGCCTTCTGGTCTCCTGACCTCTGACCAGAATGTCCCCTACAGAACAGCATAGCTGTCGCAGTTCTAGGCATTCAGGCAACATCTCCAAACCTTTCCAAACTCTTCCCACAAGCCATTCCCAAAGACTCTTGGACCACATGGTCAGGTATAGTCACAGGAATGACCCCACTCCTCGGTACCAACTTCTGTCTTACTTACTTTTTTCTCATTGTTGAGACAAAATACCTGACACCCAAGGTGAAGCAAGGGAAGGTTTATTTCTTACAATTTTGCAAGTTTCAGTCCATGTTTAGTTGGCTCCAAGGTAGCATAGCAATGGCTGAAGCAGTCATTCATGGCTACCACAAACAGCAAAGCATGAACCACACAAGAGAAAGAAGACACACCTTCTTCCTGCTGTTACCCTGTGTTCTGGCTCCACCCTTGGGCAAGTGCAGCACACATACTACCAATCCAAGTGCTAAACAATGCACCAATCACAAATGCTAGATTTGGCCACATCCATGATTTCATGAGGCTTGGGTAGGGGGATGGCATCTGAATATAAACCATAACAGCTTCCAAAAACAGTTCAGCTTTCTGATAGAAAAAAATATCTTTTCAACATTTCTAACCCACTGTTGGTCATTCATCTTTTTCCTATTCGAAGGCACAAGTCTGCCAAAAAACAAAATTCAGCAGTTCAGTTAGACTTCCAGATTTTAATGCAAGTTAATTTTGCCCTACTTACAGGAATAGTACAAGTAGGGTGTGCAGGCACCTAGTGCTGTGCTTAGCAGAATTTTACTTCACGTGTCATCTGTATTGATCTTCAGGCTGACTTTGCCATATGGCAATTCCTCACTGTTGAATTGTTTAAACAATAGTGTGTTAGTATGCACATAAAAATATATTCAATCAGCCCTTAAGATCCATAGGACATAAAATGCATTCGCTTTTTAAAAATATTCTACATGGCAGAGTCAGAAAATCGAAAATCTAGTAGAGTATCTTGATTCAGAGATTTTAAATCTGATAAACTATTGTCACATTGTTTATTTGTAAGCTTGAAGACTTAGCTCACATGTATAGGTTTCATACTATCTACAGTTACAATGCATTGAATATTAGATGGTTAAACATTTATATCAATGGTACTCAAAGATGAAATGAAAACGGTGATTTATCCGAGCTGATCTAATCGAGAGGAGGACAGCAAAATTGCTGTATTTGGTCTGGCTTAATCGGTTTTGCTTCTGTTACTGCTGTTAACCAATTTCAAAGTGGAGGAGGCTCAAAGTTTGTAAATAGATTGTTATCTGAAAGGTAATTCTACTTCCTGGCATGGCTTTATTGTATAGAAAAGAGTAAAAATGTAATTTGGGCTCCTGTCCAGATGCTCTCAGTTCTGTAGCAGAAAATGTTTTTATTTGTTAATTTGTCCTTTTAGGCTTTCTGTAGCCAGTCTTTAAATGGAGCAATTTAGCATTTTGAGAAAAAACAAACTCTACACTATCCAAGAATATAATTGAAAATTATCCCATAGCCATGCAGGATAATTACCTTTCAAAACATTTCCCAATGCTTGACATCATAGTGGTAATGGCTTAGTGATATTATAATTTCATTACATAAGGATTACAATGGCAAGATGATGTATGTTGGAGGCTTTGGAAATTGAGTTACAATGAAAACAAAACCTTTTATGTAAGTTTAAAGCACTTATTTCAATGTAAAATTATTTACAATCTCACCCAATTTTGTATGAATGTCATTGTTGGTAGTTTTTAAATTCATCCATTTAAAGATTTGGTACTAAAATCTACAAAACCTCTCTTAGTCCCCATGGTTATAATTCATCAAGCTCCAGTTCTGTAGCTATACATGTTGGAACAAATGCATTTATGTAGCAGTTACTGCTCCAGCTTGTATGCATTATGCAGCGAAACCTCTACTAATGAATTGGATTCACCTTGATCCCTTTGCAGTTGGAGGATAAAGACCCATCGCCCATTACAATGATTATTTTCATCTTGAAGGATTCCTCACTGATGTGAAGGGTGTTGAGCTTTCTAATTTAATAAAACCAGCTTAAATTTTTATTTGTTTGTAACCTCCAGGCACAGAAGACACCAAACAGCTAGCTACATGGTACATGAGTCTTAGTGTCCAAGCTCAGTTCCCCCACCGTGCTGATGGAATAAAGAAAGAAAGCGGGGGCTGGAGGTTTAGCTCAGCGGCATAAGCGCCTACCTTGCAAGCAGGCAGTCGTGAGTTCGATCCCCAGTACCGATAAAAAGGAAAGAGACAAAAAAAAAAAGAAAGAAAGAAAAGAAAAGAAAGAAAGGAAGAAAGCTAACGGCAGCCTTCTGGAGAGTGTGACGCAGGGTCACTGATCTCAGCCCCAGTCCAGCCCACACTTCTCAAAAAATGTGTCCGTCTGCAGGTCAGCTGTCACGCACAGAAGAGTCCCATGGTGCTGGAGCCAATGTATGGGTTTTCTTCGCTTCTGCCTTGGAGCCCTACTGCCTCCCCCGGCACCCCAATGAGTCTCCGAACCTCTCTCACCTCCCCTCATACTCCACACCAGAAGGGCTACTGCCCCTTTACAGGCTTGCATTCTTGAGGCTCCTTAGGACGCCCAGAGTGCCCAGAGAGCTCTGTCTGGCCCTCCCTTTCGGACTCTGTCATGCTCACGAGTAGTTTCTGGAATTTGACATATCAAACTTTTTTTCTCATGTTTAAATCACTTTACCGTACTGGCTCCCAAATTAAAGGTGTTAACACCACCTCCTGCACAAAAGCATCCAGCATGGTGTTTTAAAGGTGGGCTTAAGTGCATTGACATTTTGAGAGCTTATTTGAGCAGATGAGTCCTGAAGTAGTCAGCACCAGACCAGCAACAGCTAGACTTTTCGGAGGGGAACCAGAGTTTCCTAAGGTTTTTTGAGAAGCTAGACAAGAAAATGTATTCGATGGAGAAGTGGAAATTAGGTGTTCCTTTGCCAGTTTCTGACTGATGGGGTTAAGTTTTGCTTTACTGTTTACGCCGTTGCGCTCCAGTTTGCCTATTACATAGGAACCCAAGGCACGAGAGCCAGCTCAGGTTAGCAGCCTCTCAGCTCCAAGGGCATGGGAGAAAGAGCTCTCCATGTGAAAATCCTACTCTGTCTCGTCATTCACAGGCAACCTCAGACAGTGGCTTCACTCTGAAAACCCTGGCTCTCATCTGTGAAACAGGCAAAATAACGCCCGCCTGTGTCACAGAGCAGGAGGGTCGGATGAGAAAGCGCTCTCTCTCACCACTGCTCCTGAGGGACCAAGACAGAACCAGACCTGCTCGTTCCTCTGCCGAGCTGCACTCTTTAAGGATGACTGGCCCTGCCCTTAGCTCCTAAGTGTCGGCCGACGGCATGGTCTACCCACTGCACTGTGTGCTCCCTGCCAGGAGCTACCGTTTCTTACTGTCATTATGTCCTCCAGCGCCCTACCCGGCATCCAGCTTATGAAAGGATCATGTTGTGTGTTTCAGATGGTTGCAAGAAAGATGGGCAGAAGAATAACTATGGTGTAGTTTCAAACCCCCACTCACCATTTGGGCTCCCCTCGCTTGGACCTAAATGTCCTAACCATGACCATGTTCCAAGCCATGGTTAATTTTGGCAGGGTAAAGTGGGAGCCTACCATCACCACCTTCCCTGACTCTGGGCACTGACAGCTCAGTTCACAACCAGCCTTTACTGAGCCTCTGTTATTTACCAAGCCACATTCATGTCCCTTCCCAAGCCCTTGAGAAGGTGACCCTGGTGCACACACAGCCTAGACGGTTGGTTGCCCTGGTCCTTAATACTTTGCGCTAATGAAGGACCAACTCCCAAATGCCTAAGTACTTAGCACAACACTTGGGCATGTAAAAGCGCTCAGAAAGCATCCTTGTGAAACTTTTTTTCTTTTAATATCATTCCTCTTATTAAAAACTCTCTTAGTGACTTAGCCAGCAGAATTTCTCTTTCTGCAAACCATTTCAGTGGCTGCCTTAAGAAAATTATGCGATGTTTATATGCCCAGCAAATCTAGAACTTTTGCCACTAATAGAAGTACAGCTCACCTGATATGCTGTTCTCTGTATATGTTCTATGCTGTGTCTATCTTCTATTCATAAGTGACATTATTTTATTTGTTTGGTAACCTTTTTAGGACAGATGAAATTAGAGTGAGTATCTTGTCTTTTAATCGTGCTGCCTGTGCTTTTCCAGCTCCAGCCCCTGTAGTTTAGAACTGTGGTAACTAAGTTTTCAGTCCTACTCAAGTTTCCCTAATCTGAACAAGCACAGCTCCTCAGTCCTTTAAAAGGCCTGTCCCTTCCTTCTGACCCTTCCCCTTCATTTCTCCGTGCTATGCTCCTTGACCTTTATTGCACAGCTGCCCTCGGGGTCCCTGGTGGTTCTTCGGAGCTGTGCGCAGCCTGTGTTGAGTCTTGTCACTTCCAAAGCATTCCCTGTTTTCAGACTGACATTCACCTGCGTAAAGATCCCCCCCAGAGAGACGATGATCCCTGCCTCATTGCCATCCCCTGCTTACGTCACAGCTGGGGAACTCCGGGCCAGGCTGGCAGCTAACGCCTCTGTGGTTCCCTTCCCCACAGGTGAAGAGGACCTGAGTGTGGAAGAGGACGAGGAAGTGCTAACTCTGCTGTATGACCCGTGTCTGAACTGCTACTTTGACCCCCTGACTGGGAAGTACTATGAGTTAGTGTGACCCCTCCCTCCAGGGCGGAGCAGCCGCCAGTGGAGGAGGAGGACTGAGGCCCAGAGTCTGAAGCCAAACAGGACGGAGAGAAATTAGTTCGCTTTATCAATAATGTTGAGTACTGAGAATCCTTACGTTCTTTTTGTAGATGTGTGTGATTTTGAATCTGTGAAGTAATTAATAGAGACAGAATTTTAGGACTTCGAATTGGTTGTTTTCATTCTCATGCTGCACATAATTTTATTTCGTGTTTTATGTAAATAAGTTTCTCAAATTGTTTGCAGTGTTAATGTGTAAATGATGGCCTGATATGACACAGAAAATGTATTCTTGTTCAAAAACTATCTGAGGACCTTTAATTCTATGATATATTTGTATTAAAAATAAAATCGGATGGAAAAGAGCTTTTAAACTGCTTCATTTTATTCATCCTCTGTTTGCTAGAATATTCCTGATAGTTGTTTTTTCCTAGACTCAAGAAAGAAAACAGGAACCAATCAGACTTTATAGTTACATTTTATTGGCTCTGGCCCCTCTATTCTCATTTCATTTTAGTTTATCCGTAGTTTCCTAAAGATCACAACATCAAAGGGTTGGGAATTTAGCTCAGTGGTGTAAGCACCTGCCTGGCAAGCATGAGGTTGTGAGTTCAATCCCTGGTACCAAAAAAAAAAAAGATCATAACATTATTTAATCACTTAAGCAGCTTAACATTGTACTTTGCTGTTCTCTTTTTAATCTTTTACCAATTACTGTTGAATTGTAATCTAGCTCCACGGATCCATGTCTAATAAGAAGTCACCCATTGGAACCTGCTATACCTCACCACTCCTGCAACCTGGGCCTCAAGAACGCTGGGAGACTTTCTCTGGTCTCTAAAGTTATGTCAGAGCAATCCTGCTCAGTTCATCACAACACAAAACTTGTGTGCTTCCTACACTAGGGAGCCAGCCTTGAATTGTGTGCCCAGCAGATTAGTATTTAGTTCAAGGCAGTAGCTATTATATTAGCTAGCATATTTTGTTTTTTAATAAAGAGTACCATTGGAAATGCAGAATTATTGGTGTACAGTTGGATTTAATGGTAGCACTGTAATTTCATTTAATGTTGCTTGATAGAGGAAATAAGATAAAAAGATTTGGGCTCCAAAGGATCATTCATTATTTAGTATCATTTGTATTTGATAAGCTTTTAATCCTGTTGTTCACAAAGTATACTTTTGTTATGAATTTTGCTCCAAGATCTTCATACTTACAAAATGAAAATGAGTAAGGCTTCACAAAGCCTGCAGAATGATAAAAAGAATTGAGGTTATCTTGATCATGACCTTGAAGACTAGAGGAAGGGTGGAAAAGCCTTATTCCAGCTTTAAGTAGTCTCACAACCACCCACATATAATAGAGGCAATTAAAGGTGGTATTAGGTAAAACCTACAGGTACAAATCAAAAACCCCATGAGCTAGCTTGTGGGGAAAAGAGATCCCACAGTGCCTCATGAACCCCTAAACCAAAATAGAAATAGTCCCAGCTCACAAATGGATGTGAGCAGGGACCTCAAGAAGTATATAGGATTCTTGAATTCTGTAAGGATTCTTATACGCAGAAGACACTCAGAATTCAGGCTCTGGGAGACACATGAATCAGGGCAGCCCTAGGGATTCCTGTAGCAACAGCCACCAGTTTCTCGTGCTTACCAGTGGTCACCAAAATAACTCCACCTTTTTCTGCCCAAGTCTGTGCTCAGGTAGCAAGAAGCTGATGGGCCTATTTGTCTATCATCACACATGGAGGGAGGGTGAGATAGTCCTAAAGAAGAGGGGGCTGTTCCCCTGTGCAGAGGGCTGTCACCCCAGCAGGTGTCTGTCCCGGAAGTCCACAAGTGGTTCTGCCACTCCTCCCTGACTCCTCTTGCTGTTTCTTCTCTCTTTCTCCTTAATATTCTCAACTTGGTCTACCCGCCAGCATACTCCGCCACCATACAGCCTACTCATCCAACCACACAACCGTTCTACCTCCTTTCAATTCAAAATCCCAGCATCCGGATTCCACCCAGCCCAGTTTGGTCAGTGGCCACCAGGACCCTCTTCTGTGGATGAGCGGAGGGCCATGTGAACTGAGCAAGCTGCCCAAAGTGGTCACCATAAGGCCTTGTCAGCAACTTTTTACGTTTCATTTGACTTTCTTAAAGTAGTACTTTCATTTCTGTTGAAAAGTTTTCTACAGAAGGGTTGAAATACAGCAACAGACGTGCCATGCCTCTCACTGGTAAATTTAAACCCATCAGTGCAGCCAGTTTGCTTGTCAGGAATTGCCTCGCCTGCAATGGTTCACACTAGGCTGGGCATCAGAGTCTCCTGGGCACTGGCCCTGGCCTTTCTCACCCACAGAGCCTGGTTTCATTGGTGCTGAGTGCAGCCCAGGCAGTTTTAAAGGACTCCCCAGCCGTTCTAAAGGCAGCCACACCTGAGGATCCTGAAGTAGACTGGATGTGAAGGAGACCATGGCGTTTTGCCGGGTGGTGCACATGCCCGTGGGGAAGAGTCCTTGTATTTACTCCCATCTTCAGGACCTTAATTTCTACTTCTCATCAGATGTGTACCTTTTGTATCTGGAGCTGACTACAGCAAATGGATATTAAAATAATAGAATGATTCAATCTGGAAATATGTTTTAAGATAATTTGAAATCAATTTTGAGACTGATTCAAATAGTTGGTTGTTTCATATAAATGGGATGCAATTTGCAAATGACTGTAAGCCTTCAGTCTCTAAATTATTATTTAATTACAGATCCCAGTTAATAAGAATTACAGGAAAACAACTGCCAGCAATATATAGTACCAGGTGGTGATTTTATTTCCCTACCAGTTTTCAGTTTCCTTTAGCCAATTAATTTAATTTTATTCCCTATTAAAGAAAACATGGATCTATATAAAATACATAGACTTTTGTGAAATATTTTGCCCCGTTACTTTTCTCTGTATTTTGGGGTTTACTTCATTTATATCAGCTGTTTCAATGACACGTTGATTTTTTCAAAGTGGAAATTGTATATATTTAATAACCAAGAAGAACATAGTCACAGAATGTACAACCCAAAGGACAATTAATTAAAAGAGCTAGTTTCAAAAGTGCCCTTTGGCTTTAATTAAAGGTCTGGCTGATGAAATTTTCTGGATTGCTCTTTAAACAAAAAACTCTGAAATAACAAAAACCGTAGTATCAAAACTTAGTTTATTCCACGTTGCATCCCATAACTCTCAATCTCTAAACAAAATTGCCAGAGTAATGAAAATTCAGAGTCCCTTATCCCACCTATGGCTCTATAATGGGATTTCTATTTATCCATCATTCGTTTTGCATTCCTAAGAAGCTGGTCACGAAAGTCTTGTCAAACAAATCCTATTTTCTCTTTTCTCCTAATATAATAGTTGAGATGGAATCTCCTAGAAAGAACAATCAGGACCATTTCCTTAAATTCTCTGATTTTACTGTTGAGAAAAACGAGATTCTAACTCATTAATTTTCCAAAGGGAGTTGTTTCACAGAGGCTCAGGGAATCCATGATTCCTCACTTCCGAGCCAGTTCTTTTTCCACCCTGAAGGAATTAAGAACTCAAATGACAGATTTGAAGGACATCGCCATCCCTGCACAGAGGACACTAGCACCCTATCGGGAGTTTAACCCTGTGTTATGGATTAAGAACTGGTGGTCAACTTAACACCAGCTGGATTACATCAGCGTGGCACTGAGCAAAGATGCTCCACTTGAGGAAAGTTGCCAGCATAAATAGGTGGAGAAGGAGAAGGAGGGCATTAGGATGTTTAGGCATTAAGGCATTAATGCATTGTTGCATTGTGGCATTGTGGGTTCTCCTCTGAGCTGCTGTTTGAGCTGTTAGGTTCTCCTGGAGAAGCTCTGGTCCTTACATCGAGCATTGCTTCCTGGCTCCTTAGGGAAAGACATGTGCCACTTGGTTACCAGGATGAACTCGTCATGCTGGCTTCCTGCATGTACTTGACTGTGCTTGTTGGAGGAGGAGCTTCGGGACTCCATGTTGCTGAGGATGGCTGTGGTGCTTTTCAGGACAGCCCTGGTCTTTGTTGTGAGTGTGACTTCTCGGCTCCAGCATAGAACCCTCATCCCACCAGCAGAGCTCCTTCACCCCACTGACAGGGACTTTCTGGCTTCCACTGCTGACCTTTGGGCCTTCTCACCACGGATCCGTAAAAGAGACTGGCGTGAGTTCTTCTTGTGGACTCTGGACCTCCAGTTGGACTCGTGGGAGGTGTTGTCATGAGCTCTGGGTCTTCATCTGGACTCATGTGGGACATTGCTGTGGGATTTAGGCCTTTGGCTAACTTTGGTGTTATGGATAGATTTCCTGCATTTTCTTGTGTTAACTCCCGGTGACCATCATAAAACAATATTATAAACTCCATGTCCTTATTCTAATTGTTCTCTGCACAACCCCTAACTACAATACCCTGGTTCTCACTTAGCATTTCCTTCTCCTCTGTTCTGTGCTGATGCTTTCTTCTCTCAGTTGTTAGCATTTGTAACTTAGCAGTGTTTCCCAGTATGCATTCCCATGAATAGAACTCCCGTGACATAGCAATAAATGTGGGGAAGAGTTCTGTGGTCCAAGTCAGAAAGTATTGGCGTTTGTCTTTACTGGAGACATCCTCAGTGGCTCTGAGGCAAGAGATTAAGGCATGGCGAAGCAGCTGGGCCAGTGCCTGTGACTGGGCAGCCATGGAGACCTGTTATCCTTAGAGATTTAGGACACAGTTGCAGAGCAGCCCCTGAGCCCTGCATATGTAACACCAATCAGAAGATGCTGGCTTTAGTTCTTCTGCCATAAGAGCAAGCTGAGCTCCACTTTGATGCCAATCTTGTACCATGCGCTCCCAAACGGGTTTGTGGTGAGACAGCCCAGATCTG